ATCAACCACAGAGCACCTGCACCAGCTCTTTCCATTAATATCTCAGAAAAGGAAACGCCGGCAAATATGACACAAAATTTCAGCTGCCGCTCAATTTTACATCTGATTTCAAAGTGTCACTGAAAACAGAGGTTCGTGTCTGCAGCAGGAATGCTCCAAGAGCTACACAAAGTAGCACATGCAACTGGAGGGGCATCATTTTGTTTCATCCTCACTGATATTTAGCTAGCAAAAATGCAATGCATTTCTTGACAGTGTGAGAACTCACACCAGTGTAGTAGCAATTTCTCTTTTGACACCATGTGAACTCGCATTCTAAAGCTATGTTCATGTTAGGGACATTTAATCCTTGCAGTAGAGCAACTATTCTGCACTTCACTCAAAGTTTCATGGCTGATTTTTTTTCTTTCATCTAGCTAATGGGCCTCATCTCAGCCCTTTGATGAAGGCAGCACCAACTTACGCTGAGAGTTCAGTGTGGTTCATAGTACATCCAGATTCTGGTTTCTAATCAGCACAGCCTTCTACAGCACACTGCTCTGCACTTAGAATAATTTCGGTCAAGCTGTCTGAGTAAGGAGACAAAGACCAATCACCACAATATGTCAGCACTACTGCAATGTCCACCAAATGCCCACTTGTCTTGTAGAAGAGGCAGTTCAATCAAATCACGTCTGGACGTGAAGGATACTTGGCTTTGTTTAACGCCAACGTACACATAATCAAATCAAATGTAAGTTTTTACCAGATCTAAGTCTATCACATCTAACAACTGATAGAAACCAAAGGGTTCACAGGTTCACAGCTAAAATAAGTAAGCGGAAAACAACTTCAATGATGATGAGAGAAGACAAGGAGATGCAGATACCGGAACAGGTAACAATTAGGGACTTTGTTACACAGACACACGTAACTGGTTCTCATGCTGATAACGGAGTAATAACCTGAAATTTCCTCTCCAAAAGAAGATTTGCCTTAAAAATAAACATTGGTTCAAGCGTTTCTTTTCTCGAGGGAGGAGCTAAGCCTTAATTCACTGCATATCCATCTCCTCCCTCCTTAACGAAGGCTATCAATTTACTTGATAACTTACAGGAACTTCCAGGCAGAAAAAAGCCTTCAGAGATCACAGACAAACAGTCTGTGGTATCATCATTGTTGTCTTTGTAGCACAATATTCTTCCATCAGACTGTAATCCTGCAGGGGCTCATTTTCAGATGTCCATGAAAGTACATGAAAGTAGTTTCATGCACACCTTCCACCCCTCTGTGGCAATACCATTTACAGAATTAAACCAGAATTTCAGCTCGCACCACAAGAGGATTTCCGATGGAACACCACATTCAAAGAAACGTGGCTCAAAGACAAAGCATCACCCACAGACAAGAACAGCAGATCATGTCTGTGGTACCTTCAGATCTGCATAGAGAGTAAATCCAAAGATTACATCATCTAATTAACTAACATACACATCCACGTTAGGGGCTCTGTGTCATGGCAGACAACTATAACAACTCCTTTTCAGAGACGCTGCTCCTTTCGGGATGGCAGTTTATGCTGTTACATAAACCACAAAGGTTTTGCTGTGAAGGGCTAAACACTGTAAGGATGGATAAGTAATCAGGAAGTAGAAGCAAACAAAATCCATGTATTATAAACCAATTGTTAAGAAGGCTTGTGATAGAAACACTTTGACTGTTCCAATAAACAAAGCTAGTAACTCTGTTCCCAATGGTCCAAAGGGTGATAAGAGTGATACTGTGCACAGGAAGATAAATATTATTTCAATGTAAGGCTGACACTTTCCCTTTGAAACATCAGAAAGGCTTTTTACTTCCACCGACAATGTCGTATGAGCACCTGAAAATATTAAAACCCTTGCATTTCATTTTCCCTAGATAACTCTATTAATCAAGTCTTTCCCCCATTCCCAGCACACAGGTAGCTTTTTATTTCCGGGAACAGGACAGACAAACAGAACTTGAACCAGCTGGTGTTTCTTACGGTAACCTTGTTGGGCTTTACTTTTGTAGTTCATGGGTTAATTTTTATAGTTGATTCACTAATTATGATTAATGATTCCCGAGCGACAAATCCAGATAGATAAGATAGATTAGCGGATGACTGGAAAGTGTCCAAAAGGAGAAATACAGATACGTACATATACACTCCCCTCAAATTAAATAAAAAAATCATCAGCATTCATAGAGTCATGGAATTGGTCGAGTTGGAAGGAACACTTAAAAGGCCCAACTAGGGTCGGTCATCTAGTCCAACTCCCAGGCAATTAACAGGGACACCTACAGCTTGCTCAAGTAGCTCAGAGCTCAGTACAGCCTGACTGAGAATGTCTCTAGGAATAAGGCTTCCACCACATCGCTGGGCAAGCAGTTCCAGTGCCTCACCACCCTCAATGTAACTGACTTTTTTATCATATCCAATATATACCTACCCTCATTAAGTATGAAGCCATTTCCCCTTGCCCTATCACCATACATGGTGATAAAGAGTCTGTCCCCTTCTTCCCTGTAGCTCCCCTTTAGATACTGAAAGGCTGCTACCAGGTGACCGTAGAGCCTACAGGTAACCATACTTTAGAATAAGGCCTTGGATACAACCCTCCCACAACATCCTTCTCTCCAAATTGGAAAGGTGGATTTAATGGCTGGACTGTTCAATGGACCAAGAAGCACGTCAGCCACCCTGCCATGCTGATCACAAAGGGCGCTGACCCATGCATCTGATGGCTAGAAATGCTGCCTTTTACTAAATTATACAGGACTCAATTAACTGCATAGTACAGAAAGGGTTCATTGAACAACATGATTTTTTTTTTCCCAAGATACGCAGAAAACAAGTTGTTGTGTGTATCTAAATTAGGACATACCAGAAGCACATACTTCACCTTACAGGGATCCTGAAATGCTCTTAGCATTAGTATATCATCTTTAGTTGTTTCTCTGTTTCAGCCTGCTTTCTCATTAACACCAACAACAGCATCTTCTACCACATCTCCAATGTCAAGCTGCTTCCTACCAAACGCCTTAAGCAACAAACATGGAAATAAAACATGCTGCAGTTTACACTCCTGCAGTCCATTGCTTGCAATGGCACATTACCCAAGTGAATGTTTCCTGGGTCCTTTGTATTTCCTGCCCTTCTGAACGTACTGAATATACTTCTGAACAGCAGCTAAAAAGAAAGAATCCTAGAGAAGAACTATGAGTTTTTAATTGGCATTTCCCCCAGTTGACTGTGGCCAAACATAATACTTAAAGACAGAAAGAGCTCATTTGCAACAGCTCCTTATTCTAAGAGCGCTGCTCTGTTAGTCATTAAGCTATCAAAATCTTACTCATGAGAAACAGGATACTTCATGTCCAAAAAGCAACACTACTTAATGCAGAAGGTATCAAAATATCAGCACTTGAAAGCTTTCAAATACAGGTTTAATTCATTAAGGTCAGCTTCCTGGGAGGAGCACCCTCACCTCCCACTTACCTTCATCTTAAAAGTTTTGTCACCACAGTGAAAAGCAACTTCTAAAAAAGCCACAGTTCATATCTTTCCTTTACATTAATGTAACTTACAATTAGTATATTTAATTTAAACTGCATTTCATTAAACTGGAAGCATTCCAAGACCTGAACAATTCGTTCACACATATCTTACAAAGTTGATGCATGTGATTTTTGATGCAGTGCCACGTGAGATTAACATTCCGATTCCAAAAATGTATGAGCAATTACATCCACTGTTTAGGGAGAAACTGGACTTTAACCCACTTTGATGGAAACGTGCACATATTTACTGCACTACAAAGTTCAGCAACTGTGAGAAGAGTCAGCCAGCTGTGTTTTGCCTATGTGACATCAGGAATTCAAACTCTCTCTCTAAGTTAAGCAGCCCCAAGGTATGTGTATCAGTCAGCCACGTTCCACTCAAGGGGTTTAGTACAGACTGCCCAGGAGGGTTTTTCCTCCCGTTGGTTGCAGTTCCCCGCCCCACATCAACACGCTAATTCTAGGAACAATATAGAACATTTTAGTTCTATTGTTTCTCTGCTATTTGTTCTAGCAAAATTAGCATAGGGGAATGTTTTTCAAAGTTTCATAAGTAAGAGTAGCACAAGAAAGCAGACGGGGCGGGTGACAGCCACTGCAACACAGCAGCAGCCTGACCATCAGCTGTCATAGGCTCTCATAGGAGCACAACCTCCATTTTTTCAGACAGTTCAAACAGCCAGTGGTCCTCAGGAAGCTCAGAGCTCACGAGCATGTGTTCTGCAGAAAGGTTTAGAGGTACGCGTATCTTCCTGCGCACAGGTCAGGCGCTTTAATGCCCAAGCTCTACTCTTTTCTTCATTCATAACTTATTTTACCGTATAGCATGGGTTAATTTCAGTCCATTAAGCTTTTTGCCTGTAACAGGACAGTCCAATTCCATTCCCTTCAGCCATGCGCTCCTGCCACTAAAGCAGCAATAAAACTGCTCTCAGACCAAAAAGGTAGGAAGAAAGGAACAAAGCGCAGAGCTCTTGGGGAGGGGGAAAGAGTTTGAAGATAGGCTAAGTAGAACAATGCAGTCCATGTTGCCAGTTGTCCTGCAGTTATTTGGCTCAGACACACGGTAGAACTAAATTCTAACCAGGTTCTTGGCTCAGCTGAGTTTTAAGAGCTCCAGGTTATCTAGTTAACCCCCTACGTAAGTAGGTAACAAACGCATAAATGGAGATTACCCTACTTATGAGGGCACACAGTGCTAGAAGTACAGCATCCTAAACCTGAGGGGACACTTTTACCTGTCAAACCCCAGTCCTGCTGCCGCTGAAACTAAGTACAATTAACTGCAGTGCTAACAGGTCTGATCCCAGGTCAGGATCTCTACCCTGTGAGTAAACATAAAGCCACATTCCTCAGGGACCTCTAAAAGTAAGAAAATCTACTAAAAAAAAAAGAAAAAAAGAAAAAGAAAAAGAAAGAAAGAAAAGAAAGAAATGAAAAAATAAATTAAAGTCTACCTGTTTCCACAGTTTCAGTCTCAATTTCTTGTTCCTCTGCTACATCTTGCATCAGATAAGTCTCGTCATCATAAACCAGGACCTGAGCAGCATAACCCTGTTCTAGTCTGGCACTAGGAACTGGCTCCACAATCACAGCTGGGAATTCAGAGACTGGCTCATTTTCCTATAGAAAGGGAAAAACAAAAAAAAAACCCTCTAAATACTGCACTGTTGAACTCCAAATCAGTGTTTTTCTCTTATGCTTTTACAGATTTTTTGAATAATTATAACAATTCTGAAGATTTTTAAAGGAAATTTTCTTCTAAAGGAAGAGATTTAAAAAAACAACCAAGTAGAGCTTATTGTTCACGCAGGGGATACTCCTGAATCTCAAAGGTCTTTTTTACTGACTCTAAGCACTTAAAGTTATCTGATGCTTTAAATCTTAAGATATTGGAAAAGACCAAGCTTCTAAGTTACTCAGCTTTACCAAGTGTTTCTTCTCACTCTGCTCCTAGCAAAATGTAATCAAGCCTTTCTGCATATACTGCAGCATACCTTTGTCTGACCCATATCTTATGAACATTCATGCTTTGGATTAAGTATGTAAGTTACCATAAAAGAGCTAGCTAATTTGAAGCCCACATGCCTATCTTTCTTTGTTTTAGGATCAAAATGTCTGTGGCAGTATATTTAATCTGTTCAGGTGTTGCAGGAGTGGAATCCTGCCAGCTACAGTATTTCCTACTACCTACAGGACAGTAGAATGCTTTTGTTGTGGTTTTTTTCTTTTTTTTTTTTTTAAGAATGCAAAATACAAGCAGATACAATGTTTGAAAAAGGTCCTTCTATTGTTTTGCTCACCTGATCCTACCTTAAGTCACACCTAAGACCATTAATTTAAAGAGATGCTTAATACGCAATTTAATTCCGGAAGCTCAGTCTACAATTGTACAGCAGACTTCAGAGCTTCCTACTTCCACTTCTCTGCAATAAAACAACGATGTGCTAAGAGATCCTTGAAAAGCCATCTGCTCTGTAAACACTCCCTCGTCCACCTCACACACATGCCTACAGCAGCTTTTTCTTTCAAATTAGGATCGAAAGTCTAAAGCACGTTAGTAAATAGATTCTGCTTATTTGTCTAACCTCGTGGTTTTTCATCCCATTGCTGTCGAACTCCAGGCCAGGGCCTCCAGTGTCAATCACTGCTGATGTCATGGTGCATCCCCTGAAGAGGCTTGCAGAGTTGCTATCTATCCCAAGGACTATAATGCTGATGGGCTGAGGTTATCAAAGGCTTACATTCACAATCCACTTCTGTACAACTGCTAGGCGAGGGCGGCTGAAACACAAAATAATTTTAAGTTATTTGCACCGCTGATGTTAAAAAGACTTTCACCAGTTAAGAAAGTTACTGCATGCTGTATCTCTACATCAAGAAAGGGCACCAGCGAACACGAGAGAAAGATTGTGCTGACCTTGGTAAAGGTAACACTGAACACAGCCATATAGAAAAGACAGAGCTTACTTGTCAGACTAACAGACTAACTTTTTATTAGAAGATAATAAATAACAACCATGTTGACGTTTGACATCAGTGAGAAATTCAAAGTTACAGAGGTACAGATACATACAAACCATGCAATTTGGGCCAGCACGGCTTTCCTAGAGCTACTATTAAGTCAGGATATGTTTTTTTTAAATGACACTTTCTTTTTTCTACCGATTCCACAGCCATAACAGCTATAGATTCATTATAACACTTTCAACCATATTGCCTTTTTTATATAACACACAACCCATCAACACACATCGGATGGTTATCTTTTAAATTAAAGAGCACTGTAGCAGCACCACTTTTTCCCTTTTCTAGAGGAAACTGTCCAAAGTCTGAAGAAGGTCACTGCACATCATAACACTCTAAGCTGGGTAAATCACAGACTGGTTGAGCTTACAGAGATACACAACCTGCAACTTCTTCCATCTCTCCTGACCAGACTGAGGAGTAGAGCTTTGTTTCTAAACAGCTACAGTATATTTACCTTAAGTATTACTGTTTATCTCCTGTTTCTTTCCAAGAGGCAGATAAACCCCGGGCAGTGAGGAGCAGTTTGCTACAGCACGATGCAACCTAAGAAGTTTAGCTTCTTAGCTCCACAGGAGAAAGCACATATTCCATGTCAGACATAAGAAGCCAATCTGATATCAACTACCCTTGCAGCTAACTCCACTGAGATCAATGCATAGGAGCAGGTTGGATGAGCCAACCTGATCTGGTGTAGTACCAGATCTACAGGCTGGTGGCCCTGCCTGTAGCAGAGGGTTGGAACTCGATGATCCTTGGGGACCCTTCTAACCCAAGCCCATGATTCTATGGTTGTAGTACAACTCCAAAGCCCAACATAGACAAAAATAACCAAAAGGAAAAGTAAAAAAAACACTTATCCTGGAAACAGACTGTTCTACTTTTCCGTGATCATCCACATTAGAAATACTGCCAAGCACAATCATAACCCAACAAAAAAAGAGTCCAACAAATGGAAAATTTATTTCAGTTTGGAAGCGCAGGCTCCAACCAATTCCAAGCCCCAACATTATTCCAGCAATTCAGGAATAACGCATTGATACAAAAGCAGAGGGAGCTTCAGGCAGCACTCTTGCATAGACTAACCTGGTCCCCATGCTGTATAGCAATGCAAATAAATACTCATATACTAGACCACGACTGCTGTCTGTCATATTGAACCTACGATAATCCCACACAGGTGGCTAACGCAGCTGCAGCAAGAGAGAACGCTTCGTGTGTAGATCAGATTATGCCAAAAAAGAAAGAAAGAAAGAAATGTATTTATTTGGCTTCTAGGAATGAAGAAGCTTAGACGAATTCTGCACTGATTTCTCTCCAAGTGAATAAGCAATTACCTACAGAAGCAGAGGTAGGGCGATGTAAGGAACACATATGCTCTTAGATGATCCTCACTTTCCAGGCACAGCCAACATTTCTAACGAATAAAACCCTCCAAGAGAAAAATACATGGGAGAATCATTAAGGCACTACATCCTCGCGTTCGCTAAAAGGTGGTATATTTAGACAGATGACACAAAACAGTCCAGGAATCAACGAAAGCTACAGAGCCTCTGGAAATCAGGATTACAACTTCACACAGAGACTCTTCCTATTCAGTAACTTATTCAACAACCTTGCAGGGTGGAAAAAGACAGCAGCCCACCGACCCAGCCTGGTTTAGCCGTGCTCAAACAAACAGAACAACACACATCCTGGTAGGCGTGGGCTGTGCACGCGATAGAGTCCTGCAGACACATCTCTTGTTGAAGGAAGTGGCCAAGCATTCGCTCTCTACCCTATCGCAGAGCAGCACGCCCCAGTACACCCTCCTGCCTCCACCTTGAATCTCAAACAACTCTGGGCCTGTTCCCCATCAAGTCCCTTGCAACAGGGAAAAGGGCTTTGCTGCACCACATCTAATTCTTTAAACACATATCCTGTGGGAAAACAGAAAGAAACCGAGCTGCTCTCACCCTCAGAAATAGAATCGCAAAATGGTCTGTGCTACATACCCAAGCACCTCCCCACAAGAAATCCAAACACTCCTATGATGCTTTCTGCAACTACCAGACAAGGTTAAAAACACTGCATGCCACAGCTGTGCTGAGCACGTAACAGCCATCCAAAAACAGAACCTTAAGTCAATCCCTCAGCACACAACCGCTCTCCACTTAACAGCAAAGCAAGCACACAGCTCGAAAGAAATGGAAAACTGAAGTCGATAAGCTGGCATGAACAAGATGGCACAGCACGTCACCTCCCCTACGCCAGGTTTGGCTCGAAACAAAACTCAGCATAAATCTGCAAGTCGGTTTAGTTTCACTTCAATTGTAAGCACACAAAAGAAAAAGAAAACGCGGCGCTTGAAAAAAGCTCCACACGCTTGCACCCACACAGAACACAAGAAAAACACCCGGAACGCTGGGTAACACTGATGGGAGGCAGCTGCTCCTGCAGCACTCAGAAAACGTGTACGAGCCTCTGGAACAATGTCTCCCTTTTATTCGGTTGGCATCCAGAACCCCAAGGATAGATTTATGTGGATACCTACACAGATACAGCCGCAGGAGCAGGACCGAGGCCAGCAGCACTATCACACACCAGGGCTTTCAAGCAGGCCTTCCTTTGGGTCGGTCAGAATAGCTAAAGAAGTTGGCTTGCACACAGAATCAGTTATACAGACAGAAATGCAGCAGCTGAGATCGCTGCCGAATCCCACTGACTGCAACCAAGGCTTCCTACGGGTACAATAGCAGTCTTGCACAGGCAGCACCTCGAGCACACCAGTAAATGTCACTTTCACCCTGAGACCTACAAACTTAAAAAGAAACACGTTATGCCAACTGAAAAGCCTTTCCAAGACGTTTACCCTGACAGAAGAAATTGTGAGTTCACTGTGGTTTGTTGAAACGCGGAACAAGTCTAGAATCAGAGAAGCTTCTGCAAAAGCAGAAAAAAACAACTTCTCCATAGCTAAAGAATCACAAGGTCTGCCCAAAAAGCTGATGTGGGGCAATCTCTGTATTTCAGGAAAACAAAACAGACAGTCCAGGCTAGTTGCAGCAGCTTATCAACTACAACAAACGGGTACAGAAAAACAACTCAAACAGGGGAGTGCTCAGAGCACACTGTCCTGTCACAACACGTGTCCAAGCATCAGAGCCCCCACCTCACAAGGCAGTCATTCTACTGGTGAACACACAGGAATTATTACCACGGCTCCAATTAACAGCGTACCAACACAGCAAGGATCTCGAGGAACTCAACTTCCACGTGTATTTAACAAGAAATGTGACCATCCAAAGTTTGTTCTGGAAGCTCAATAGCTGAAGCCTATGAATCCTATGGACATGCAATTTCGTGGTGACATAAAAAGCACCAGCACTCTGCAGAAAGCTTTGTGACTTCAGTACACCTATCTGGACCCCGCCATGTTTTACCCTACAAACAGGCTCCCTTCCCACTGGCCCTGAAACCCCTCTCGCCCCTCACCGCCCTGCTTGGTCCCAGGCCTCCTCTCTCTGCCGTGCCAATTGTTGGCCCTTAACATCCGTTCCCACTCCGCAGCGGATCAGAGTAGGGAAAAATTATTCATCACTTTACATAATAAAAAAGCGGGGACCAACGCAAAGAAAAAAGTTAAGGATGCGGGTTTAAAAACAAAACAGCACAACAACAAAGGAAGTGGCGTGCACAAGACCGGATTCATATTCGAAGGATGTTCTAGAGGCCAAAGGGGTGAGAGCATTCAAGTCAGGAAGTTATGGAGATAGAAACCCTAAGCCCTCTAAGCGACCGCGCAGCACGAGGATGCACAGCCTCACGTTCTGGGGCTTTCTGAGGTAGGCATGGCTGGAACCTCATAACAGAGTGCCACCAAAGGGGCCATACAACACCTCCCTTTTCTAAATAACTGATAGCAATGGAGATAAGCAGAGGGCAGGGAACCCTGGCTCACACCCACGGCACGGTCCCACAAGGACCTGCAGCCTTTTATTTCGCTTCCTCAGGATCCGGGAAGCAACGGCTCGTGCAAACAACCCCAGATCCAGACCTCTCTGTTCCTCGGCACCCAATTAACCAAGCAGCTGTACCAAAGCCCCAGGAGGAGCTTTCAGCACACGCTAGCGCGTTGCTACAAAGCTTTCTCCAACACGCCAGCAGCATTCACACCGTTTTAACCCAAAATTACGGCACGAAACGCGGTCCCCATTCTACACCTTTCGGGCCACAAACCGCGGAGCAGCCTGGACGCGCTACTGCTAGAATCCCACTTCTGGGAGCGCCGAGGACCCTCCAGCGCAGCGCGTGGGCCGGCCGCACCCGCTCCGCGCCGGAGCCGCCGAGGACAGAGGCAACGCACTCGAAGCACAAGCCCAGCGGCGGGCACCCCGAGCCGGGCCGGGGGAAGGGGAGCGGCCGGCCGGGCGCCGCTCCGGCAGCACGCATGACAGCGAGAGAGCGAGCGGCCGGCGCCGCGCTGCCATCTTCCCCGCGCCCCGCGTAAACAAGGGCTGCCCCGCCGCCCCGCAGGCCGCGCCGACGCTGACAGCCGCCGGGAGCCGCCCGCCGAAGGGGCACTCGAAACCG